GATTCTATGATTCTATGATTCTATGACAGAACTCATTGTCCCCAAAATAAGCATTTAAGTAAGTGAAAGCAGAAACCAAATCTTTGGATACAGCAAGATCATAAAAGGGAAGTGAGAGGCACTATGATACGGATAACCATTAAAGAAAGTGTGATACGCTTTTCAGTTTGTACTGTTGCAAAATACATGGAATTAAGGACAGATTTGATTAAGGAGATTTTAGGTGTTTGGCACAAAAAAAAAGAAAACCTGTTTTAGACATAAGGAATCAGCATGGGAGAGGATACTAAGATCACAGTGGGAAAACAAGGGAAGGCCAGGGACTTGTATTTGGGAAAGGCAAAGGCAACGAGGTGATATATCAGCAGGAAAGGGGAAGAACTGAGCTTTAAATCAGAAAAAAAATGCTAGCAATTTGGCTCCAAAGTAATAAAAAAATTCAATACTAACAAAGCAATAACTAATATACAGTGGAAAAAATAGGAAAAGGCCTATATTTAAACAAAGACGTGTAAATTTTGATATCCTTGTATAATATCAGTACATTTGTGCAGTATCTATGGTGTACATTAACACCTCTCTGAAAAGAAAGTCTAATTTGCTGCTATGAATGTGAAAAATATTCAAGTATTTGAACAAAAATAATCTAATGTAGAAGATGTAATACTGATTGTACTTTCCTTTGTAACTATCATAAATAATATCATTTGGAATTCTAAGGTTTGTTTAAATTACTGTCAATGAATAAAAACCAAATAAGACAATCTCTCTCTTAAAATAGAATATTTTAGTAGTTAGAGTAATATAATCTTACCAGATATGGCGAATCCACTAAAACCCACAGCAAGCACTAAGAATGAAATAGCCACTCCTTTACTATGAGAATACCCCACCACAAGAAGAAGAGTTGCTTCCATACCAAAACCTGGGGAAATTGTAAAGAAAATGAGGCATCAGATTTCGTTCCCTCTCGAATATTGCAGCCTTTAAGGTATGATAATGTTTCATGGGAAGACAGAGGCAAATCATCACCTCAGATCGGAACATAATAGGTATTTCTTTCATCCTTAAAAACCACATGTTCTTGCTGTCTCAGGTAATCCTCATTTTATTCTTAGTGTGCTAATTAATTGTTACTTCCTGTCAGTTTTAAGATTAAAAGAAATACTTTGATTTGGTTAGGTCATGCCAGCCAGCTCTAATCGGGAACATGGACTTAACCTGCTTTCGAGTTTTGCAGCTCTTTTCGCAGCCAGGATTTAGCTCATGTGCCTTTCACCTCTCAGCAGTCAGATATGTAATCTCAGGTAGTTGTCTGGGCTCTCTTAGTGCAGAGGGTGTTTAGGTGAGGAGCTAAGATTCAGTAAGTAGCTAAGAGTAGGCAAATTACTCCCCAAAAGCTCATCTGCTTCTTTCAAAGTCTAAATGCTTTTTCAAATACCAAACATCTGTATTGAAATTGGAGATAAGAACAACTGTGTTTACTTTTCTTTGGTAACCACATCTGTAATACACAAAAAATGCACAAAATATTGCTTCATAAGTACATAAAACCATGCAGTTTGTTTGTTTACTGTATTCAGCATACTACATGGACATCGAATCTGTACAAGAAGCTTTTTAAGAAAGTAGGAAGACTTACCTCCACAGTTCATTATCTTTCTCACAGTAGTGGTTGAAAGAATCTGTCTGCTTCTTAAAAAGTCTGCAATTTGTCCTCCAATAGGAACAATAATTGTCATCACTAGATGCGGCACAGCAGATAAGATACCCACCTAAGATAATCGTTAGAAGTAGCAGAATGTAAACCATAAGGAAATAACGACTTCGTTTTCTGAAGCATTCAGCAACTAATTAATTGTTTCCCTTCAATTTCAGGCTGTGTGCTGAAACGAAAAATCTTAACTTGGTTTATTCGATGAACCAAACTGGTGAACTTCAGTTGTCACTGTGTTTTACAAAGCACAGTCAGTTTTTAAGAATCTCTGATGCTGTGACGCTTTTTGTTTATAGATTGTTTTCACAGTTTATGTTTAAGCTAATGGCTTTTTTCCCCCCTGATTTATAGCCAGTCTGCCCTTTTTTTTCAGAAAATTTATGATCAAATTTGTTGAACTGAGTTGCTGCATTTCTGTTGGTGATGTGTTTGGCATAGCATTGCCCAGCAAACCTAACATGTCTAGACAGATTCCCTGTGGATCATCCTTACTTGCACGATGGCCATTTGCCTTTGATTTCTGACCATCACTCAAGCTTCAAATTTCACGTGGGCAAAAGATATGTCTGAGAAACTGTTTATGTGGTAAAAGATAACATGCTAAATATCCGTTGACAATATTCAAAATGCCATACATATTAGCAAAGCAAGACACAGTAATTTTCTGATGACTGTTACAAAATATAATAATCAGAGTGTGGTGAGGCACTGGAACAGGTTGCCCAGAGAAGTTGTAGGTGCCCCATCCCTGGAAGTGTTCAAGGACAGGTTGAATGAGGCTTTGGGCAACCTGGTGTAGTGAAGGGTTTCCCTGCCCATGGCAGGGGGGTTGGAACTAGATGATCTTTGAGGTCCCTTCCAACCCTAACCGTTCTATGATTCTATGATTCTATTTGAAGACCATTCGCCTTCAAAGTGAGTGTGGCTCAAGCTGCTACCTGCTACCTCCTGTCAACATAACAGCCTTGCAAATAGTTTGTTTGATTATGCATGGCATTTTGTTCTAATAGGGAATTCTGATTATGACGTATATCTGAACACATGCTTACGCCCAGGGTTTTTTGTGTAATTCCTATCTGAGCAGTGTATCGGCCTGGCCTGATGTCTGACTTGAGTTAACGTCAGTGTGCAGAGCAGACAGACTCCATGAAAACAGAAAGAAAGCATGTTTTCTCTTCTCTTCAATTAAAGTTGTGAAATTGTATATTTCATTGCGGTTTATATATGTGGCAACTATGTTGTGACGGCTAGCTTCATGCTCATAGATGTTTCTCCCAATAAGTTAGATATCTATGAAGTAACTATGGTATGGTAGTTACTGCTGCAAGGCATTCATGACCGAATGATAACTATTCATTTATGAGCATACATGTCCACAGCAGATGAAAATGTACTTTGCTGTCATTTTTTACAAGGCTCTGTATTTCTTTGAATACACCCTAAGAAAAATTTTCAAGAAAAAAAATTATCAGATTAATTCTATAGGGTGTGACCGTTCTTATTGCATCCGTAACAGATGATGTTTCAAGCATAGCGAAGCTTCTTAAAATTAGCTCCAGCTAAAGAAACCCATCTTTAAATGCAGAATAACATTACATTATCTTGACAATATTCCACAATACAGCAACACGTGGGAAGCTGCTCGTCTAATTGTCACTTAAACCACAATTTAGGGTGTCTTAATACCTCACAGAACAATATCAAAAGAGTACAGGTCTCTCAAAAGCACAAGCCCCCGTCACTTTCACAACAAGGAAATCTGTAGTAGTAGAAAGCTTACTGCACATTCTGAAGGCTTCTTTGCATGTATCCATATTCACATCACAGGTCTGATCAAAAATCCATATCAATTATGTGGAATCTTAAATCATCCCTACGTCTCCTATTTTGCCACTGCCTGTTTCACTTCCTAAGTTAAAAAAGGGGGGGCAATTCTCATCATATTAAAGGGGGATGTGAAACGTGATAGATTGTACTATCCTTCCTAAAACGACGTGGCCCTGCTTTACAAAGTGCACCTGGAAAAATGGAACCACTTGCCAGTGATTTCTTTACAGCTTCAGTGGGATGTTACATCCCCGGGGTGTCAAGGACAGAAGTGCGATGAGTCTCTTGATATCTTTCTAATACCTTGCCTGATCTGGTTTCAAGCACATAACTGAAAGTGTTTTTGCAGTATGGTCCCAGGTAGATCGTTACTAAATCTCATCCTGTCTTCACTTTCCCCTATCCAAACCCTTGTCATTGTTGTTACTTTGCTTACATGTACTGGTCAAGGGACCAGTAACTGAGAGGGATAAGATTTAAGACTTGTAAACATATGGTAAAGACACTGAACCCTTACTATTCCTCTTCCTAATAAATACCACAGATGTGACTCTAATATTTACTTGGCTAAGATGAAAGTTCTGCATTATTTTTACATACCTTGCTTATTTCAAATCCAAACACCTCCTCAAAGTAAGCGGGCTGACTAATAAGCAGCAAGTAAAAAGTCCAGCTTCTACAGAAGTTTGCAACAATTATTGCATAGACAGGCATAGATGTAAAAAATTTTCTCCATGGAGTTTTATATTTCTGAAACATAGAAAGGAGGATCCAGTCAACATTTTGTTGGTTATCAACTATCTGTCTTCTCTTTTCCTATCTGTTATTTTTACCTATGCTCCAACAAACTCATATATGCATAACTTTCTGTATCTGCAATCCAGTGACTTAAATTATCATAAAGTCGATGCATCCATGTTTGGATGATCAAAATTTAATTTAAAAACATAAGCAAGTAAAAATTACTGCAAAATGCACAAAAGGAGAAACTCAGTGATACTTAACTGTATCACAACACTCACGCACAAGTGCCATTATCTCTATTGTGTAAACAGGAACATACTAAGTCCAAAATAATAACGTGTCTTGAAAAGACAACGTTGCTTTATCTAAGGCAACAGCCAGATTTTATGCTGTAAGTGGACTATTTCATCCAGATTCATTTTAAGCTTGTATTTTAGCATTTAAATCTTAATCCCAGCATTCTGAATATTTTTTTTTTATCAAGCCTCAGCCGAAACTGCTTGGTCAACATGTTTTTGTGTCTGTTTTGTTGTATTTTTAAAATGAATTGCACAATTGTAGGGGAAAAAAAAAAAAAAAGACAGATGGGCAAAACTACAATCCTGCTGAGTCCCAGCACCTCTCCATGAGCCCAGGGTTCTGCCCATCTGTGTTGATCCAAATAACAGGATTCAGACCCAGATGAGTGTTTGAAAATCACTTCAGCAAGGTTTCAGGCTGAATTTGGTCTACTGTTTACTCAAATACTGGCTCTTCTTCAAAGAAAACCAGCCCATAGATAGATGCATGCAATGTCTTTTATACTCATTAAATCACATTTAAGTGAGAGCTAAGGATTAAGTGTGACTTAATTAATGAGAAGCCAGCCAGAAATGATAACTTGATTCATAACCATGGGAAGAAACTAATTGCTTCCAAAAAATATTTCATTAAAAAACAACAATAAAAAAATAGAAAATATCCAGCCCAAGTTAGAGTTATACAGGCATCCTTTGAAATATCTCATTTCACATAAGATTTTCAAAAGTGCTTACAGGTATAAGAAACCATGAACATTGCTGGATGTTATTAAATATCAACCCAGACACTACCTCAAAAATGCCTAAAAATGTCATCTATCAAATAAATGACTCTTTACTATTTTTTAATTTGATATTTAATCTGGATCAGAGTTTATTACTAAGAAAAAAATGGTTTATTCCTGAGTTCAGTCAAGAACCAGCAATCTGACCAATTAGAAAACACGATGAAGAGTGGTAATGAGGACGAACCTGGAATGAGTTTAGCAGATGAAGCGAGACTTCAGAACTAAATTTTTTTTACTTTCTTGACTTAATAAGCATGATGATAATTTGTTTAAAGCTTTTCAATAGTTAGATAAATAAGAATATTACAATTCAGCATGATAGGATTATTAAGTGGCTACAAAATGGTCTGAGTTCATTGCTATTGTTTTAGTTCTTGAGAGCTAAACCAGCACAAAATTAAGTCAGATTATAAGAGGCTTGATAGTAAGTTTCTCACAAAATTACCGCGACAATGGGGAATGTTCTTATGGCTCTCCTGGCATGCTCTATTGCAACTTGCAGTCTTTCTTGCAAATGAAACAGAATAGTCCAGATTTGGGTTTTTTTCTGATGTTCTGAAGACCTCAGGAGACACTTGGTAGTGCTTTACCTCCGGTTTACTTTTAGGAAGAAGAAAACCTTCCAGAAGGGATTATATAGAAAGGGAATGAACCACTTGAACTCAAAGTACTATAAAAGTCTCAATAAAGCTGCAATTTCACATGTAGCTGTAGGGCTTTTTTTATCCTTTGGAGTAGAAAAAGATGCATAAATTCCATGCACGATCTGCTAGAAGAACTGGAACCTATATTCCTTTCTTGCAGAAGCATTATCCTCCCAGAAATCCATGAGCAGATTTCTGACTTCCCCACCCCAAAAAAATTCAAATGTTTGAAACATGCTTTTCTGTCTTAAAGAAGGAGGGTGTTTGATATTTTTTTGTTTGTTTATATTTGTTTTTGTTTGTTTGCTTGTTTTTATTACTATCTCATAGGAAACAAGTGAGTAATATTCTTACTTCCATTGCACCTAGGAGGTTGGCACTCTCTCCAATGCTTTCTTCTATGTATCTCCTTTCTTCATCTGTGATCGTAGGATGCTTTGCAGGACTCTCATACGAAACCAACAGCCAAAACATGTACCAGACTATACCAAAGCTCCCTTTGGAATGGAAAGAAAGACTTTAAAAAGAAATGTGCAGTAAAACAGCAAAAAAAGAAAAAAATCTGTGAATAATTATAACGAATTTGAATGGCAATTGTTGTTACTGCTTCTCTGCTGAGTCATTCTAGCAGAGAGTTGGATCTTGCAAACAGTATTTGTGCAAAATGCATGAAGAGATGGACCACAGTGAAGTTGTCTTTGTTTCATTTACAGAATGATTTCACTGTAAGGGAGTATTCACTGGTATTTTAACATCGATTTATACAATACTATGCAATGAAACAACTTCCACTTCATTTCACCAGATGGTAAATGACGTTCTATTCTACCTCAAGCCACTGTTGTTTGATTACTGCACTAAATTTTTTACTTGCAAAATACATGATTGTGGCATTGTTTTCAACATAACAATGTGCTTCCTGAGTAATTTATTAAATTTCTGTGTTTCCTCTTAATTCATATCAGTTTTACACTGTAGAATGAACGCCTTTGTGACACTTTATTTCATCAGTGTTAGTTCATGGTAGCACAACTAGTGTGAATGAAGTTATGTAGGTCTTCAGATAAATATGAGGACATTTTAGTCAAGGCAAGTACTCTGAACTTATAGTTGTATAAATGAAAGAGCGACGTTCGTGATCTGAGATTCTATAGATCTGCATAGCAGCCCGCATTACTTGTACTAGAAGTGATGAAGATTTTGCCATGAGCTAGCTTTTCTTCTTTCTTAGTAATGTTACTTTCTTACTCTTTCCTTTAAATTCTATTCTTTCATTGTTCTTTTCTCTAGTCTGTATTTTTAGCTTTAAGGACTCAATTCTCTTCTTTTTTTTTTTGCCTCTTAACAGGAACTTTTACATTTTTAGAAAGGGTGGAGTAAGGTCATACGATATTGGAGTGAGATGAGCAAAAATGCATACCATACACGTAGAACACAGAAGACCAGCCAGTATATTGCACTAGAATTCCAGCTAAAGGCATTGCAATAACAGCTCCTGCGTAGGAACCTACAAAACAAGACATGTGTGGATGAAAAGGGAGAAAAATTCAGTCTTGAAATACTTCTACGTTACAAATGAAAGAAAGACAAAAATAGAAAGTTACTTACCACAAAAGGAAGTGGTTGCTAACCTACTTCTTTCTAATGGGGGGGCCCACTTGCTCCAAATACCGTGGCAGGCAGGGTAGGTGACCCCCTGGGGAATGGGTGTGCCACAAGTTAGCTAATGCTGATCAGTCACTCAGTTCATTGTCTTTGCATGTTTGTTTTTTTTTTTTTAATTGCTAAAAACAAGAAGTTGAGAATGCTTTGCATTTCTACGGTCAAGTCTGAGCACAGCCATAGGAAAACTTCAAATTCTATTAAAGTTGAAATGGATTTTGTATATCACTCCAAATCATTAAAGAGGCCTTATGAAACAGAGATAAAACATAATTATTTCCTTTTGCTCCCCCTCCCCCTTCCAAGAAAGAGTTGTGAAGAATTAAAAACAAAGAATCTTAATACATAAGTACCAGAGTCAAAGGAAGTTTGAAAACACAGACCCTCTGGAGTCTCTCTAATGCTGGGCTCATTTCTCCAGCTCTCAATTTTAATGGTCTTCTAACAATTTTTGGTCTAATATTTAAAGTCTAATTTAGGAAATATAGGTTACTGTTCCACTGCTCTAAAACTAGAAAATAAAATAAATAAGAGATTAAAAATATAATGTTGAAAGAGCACTTTTTCGCTATCTTTGTCTTTAATGAACCTTCTTGAGCACTTAAAGCAAATAATTGAATTATGTTAGTTGGTTTGATTTTAAACCAGTTACTTTGTGAGTTTCTCTTCAAAACAAGCCTTTAACTTAAAAATAGAAAAAAAAAAAAAAAAAAAAAAAAACCAACAAACCACTACATCCTGCAGTGTTGAAACTGTAGAGAATGTAATTTGAAACGTGCAGTAGTTTTTCACAAAATTCCTGCTTAAGAATTATTATGATGTTGTGTAATTGTACGTAGAGCCACTTTTCTCTTAATCTGATGTTTTGTTTCCTATGCAAAAAGTAGAAAAAAAACCAAAACTTTTTGCAAATGTTGTGGGTATCATAAATGTTGAGATTATCAGTCTCCATATATTGTAAAATGCATTCTTGTTTGGAAACAAGATTGTAGAACCAATTTTATATTCATTTCAGTCTTATTGTTAATTTTACAAAAAGATATAAAGACAGAATTTTAAGATTGTCGTGATTTATTGTAATCCTTCTTCAAATGATTCTGTTCAAGATGTTTTGCATTCACAGTTCCTTTGAACATTGTCACAGAAATGAATGGATCTAAAATAGCTATTTTATTTTGTAATTACTTGCTTCTGTTCCTCTCCTCTTTGCAGTCAAGCACACCTCTGTACATGCAGATCACTTTTCAGGACACATGTGTACTTTAAGAACTTGACTGATGGCTACCTGACTTTTTCAGGCACATTCCGCACCCTCTTTTGGAGTCTTTTTATACAATAAAGCACATGAGTTAAAATCAGCTGACGCAACAGAAGTGTGTAGCCCTGAGAAACAATGAACCAGCGTTCACAGGCTTAAAAATCTGTCTTTCAGTAAAGAAACAAACAAGCAAATAAATTTAGAAGGCAGGCTCAACTTCTTTCTCTTTTAAATTATGGTAACTCTCTCATTCATTCCAACAAGAGCATGGCCAGGGCCTATGATAGAAGCTTAATTTTTTATTATCGATTTAGTCTGTGAGGCTGGACAGCAAATAACTGTTGAGAACAGCACCAGTATAAGCTTTATGCAGTACATTAGTGAAACTTCAGTTTTAAATACATATCTCACTGGCTTCTCAGCAAGAGAAAACGTTGCTATGTAATTTTATAGATGAAGGAAAATCAAATAGCTGTAATTCATACATTAAAATCCTTTACACTGAAAATCAGTAATAAACTGAAAACATTTTTTATTTTCCCCAAAAATTTACAATTGCTACTTAAAGGCTAACAAATATCTATCATATTTATTGGTTATTTTATAATTTTTCCATACCTCTACAAGGCCCTGCAAGATCCTAACAAAGATGACACATCCATAGTGAACTCTGGCTGCAGACGGGATTAACATGTTGAGGGAGGATGTCAGCAGTATAGCAGCACCGAATACTCTGCAAAGGAGGGGGGAAAAAAAAAAAAAAGAAAAGGAGGTATCTTCAGTGTTGTTCCAATTGACTTATTCCACATATGCTCACATATCAATGTAGATGTATTTAAACATATGTTCTTTATGTAGGGAATATACTAACTGCTGGACTGGATTAGTGTCTACTTCCCTCTAGTGTAATAACCTGTCTAACAAGACCCAGACCAAACATGGACATAGACATTTATTTAGTGTTAATTTCCTAAGGAAATACATCTTATTCAATCACAGGTATAGATCTTACTCTCCCTATCCTCACTCTTTCTTTAGTTAATTTTCACATCTATTTCAACCAAATCTGATTGAATTCACCACCCTCTAGAGAAATCAGAAATTAGGTCTCCAAACGGTTTGTGAAAACAGGTGGCGAAGTAAAAGAGAAACTCTTGTTAGTGTTTCAGTTTCAAGCAAGTGGCACCATGCATTCACTGCTCATAAAGTGGAAGAGAATCCACTTTCATAAATGCCAAAGCATTTCAAACAGAGCTAGGATTTTCTATACCCAAGAGTTAATCAACCTGGTAACACATATCCATAGAAAGCAGATCATTCTTTCTGCTGTTTTTTCAGAGGCTATTCATTGAATATTGTTGATTTTGATTCCAACAGTACCCTAGGACTTGCTTCAAATAAAGCACGTTACAAGGTCTAAATAAATGTGTGAAGTGATGATTCATTTTCGAAATTCCACTGCTTTGACTGAATTTCAATTTGATGCAATTAATATCTGCACTTGTAAAAGGAAGCCTTTTCTCCAACATTATTATATCATTTTCTATGTTCATTCATTCCTTTATTGTAGAAATAATCATTTTTCCCCCCATTTTCCTTTCAGTGGAACCATGCGAAGGGAAGAAGCCGGTAGCAATGACTGGCCACTTTCTTTATACATAACTATGTAATGCTAAGATAAATCCTGGAGATGTCTTAACATATGACATCACGATATCTGATGTGGAACTGATTTGACAGAAACCTTTAACCTTAGCATGTGTTCTTCAGAAATTGGTACAGTGCCATAAGCTAGTGAGAAACAGACCTTGGGCTAAAGAAGCAGGAAACAGTGATAAGTTTCAAAGACAAAAATTCTCCTGAAAGACAACTCTGTTTCACATTGTCTATTTAGAATTACTGCCTGATACAAATCTTTAAATAGCACGCTGAGTATGCTCCACTTCTATTTGACAAATATTAAAGGGCAGCAGAAAAAAAAAAAGTTTCTTGGCACAGTAAGGAAGCTTTGTTCAATAGCTCTAAATCTGGTCTCCTCACTGTGTTCCCTGTGATCCTCATCTCATGTTGAACAAGATCTAGCTGGCTGTGGAGCACGTTTTTGGCTTTGTTTGGCAGCATGTTCTGTACACTTACTGGGACTGACTGGTGCATGTGTTTGTGTTGCACTATGTAAACTATTTTGGACTGAACTCTGTCTTTACTCTTAACTTCTTTATGTGTGAGTTTCTACTCCAAAAGTACTTGCAGTTCATTTCCTTTCAATTTAATACCCCGTATGTTCACATGAACCACAATGGTGTCTTGGTTTTCATTTGCTTTTCTTTATTTATTAATGAGAAAAGTTTGGGATTCATAGGAGCTTCGCTTTTGATTTTTTACAAATTCTTTTTACATGTTAGATGTTCCTGTTAGCAATATTTGAAGAGCAATATACTGTAACTGTTCTAAAGGTTCATTGAGAAAATCCTTATTTGCTTGTAAGCAGGAAGAAAGGACGGCTTGGTTTATAGCCTTTTCTGTTTCTTTTCTGAGTAGATATTTAGCTAAATGCCTAATGCAGCAGTGTGGTTTTAAATTTGTGATTGTGCATAGACTTGCTGGAGGAGATTCTTAGCTAGTGTGGACCAGTGCAACTCTTTTTAAATCACTATTCATGTTAAAATCATGCTAAGACAGAATAATAAAAAATGCCATCTGTTTATAAAGATGAGATTTATAATATTATTATAGTATGTAACTGTTTCTTCAAGGAAATTTACTCTAGTTTTTCAATTCTGTATCTGAAATCAGCTTCTGTTTTCCACAACCAAAAGCTGTGTTTCTCAGAATGGCTTTTATTCTCATGTTGACTAAAAAGAAGCTGTTTCCTTGAGTCTGTTCCTTCTAGAAGAGAAAGGAAAATGTGATTTAAGGAATGAGCAGAGACATACATCTTCCAAATGAAAATCTTGCCTGTATTTAGACATACAAATACCACTGAATATTTAGTTACATTGAGAAGCAGATTATGAAATTCTTCCAGAATGTCAATGGTAAGTCAATTTTGTCTCAGAATTATGCTTTATAGGAACAGCCTTCTCAAAAATAGATCCATTTTTTCTCAAAAAAAAAAAAAACCCTATAAATTTAAGGGTAGAAAGAATTAAAGTTAAATTATGATTCTTGTAAGAAATGACTTTTTTATCCTCTTTTTTTGAACGCATATTAAAAGAGGCACCCTGAATTTAGTGCATGACTATTTAAGTGAGTCAGTTTCCTCTGGAACTTTCAGTCAAGAGCAAATACATCTTCCTACATTTGCTTTGCACCTCTCAATGCACATCAATAAATATAATCAGTATTTCTCCTTCATGCTCTTTTCTCTTGTTGCACTTACTTTACCTTCATAAATACCAAATTCTTCTTCCTAACAGAGTATTATGATATAGTTCTGGGTTTTGTACAAGCTTCCCATTTTATTCTTTTAAATACCTCAACTACATTTATTATGATTTAGATCAGATAAGAATAATTTTCAGCTACAAAAAGCCTAAATATATTGGAATACTGCTCACATTTGAATATATTTAATTGGGAAATGGAACATTTTGATTGTTCATAAGGCATTTCTAAGGTGTTTTACTGACCCACACATCAAATCCCAAATTGTGTCGCACTTTTTTTGTGTTTACCTTTTTGTTGTGCTTACTAAGCTAGTGATTTTATGATCTATTATCCTATTTAGTTTCATTTCTGCTTGTCAAACAATTCTCATTGGCTCAATTTTGCTGCAATGTTAGCTCCGAACATGGATTTCTTGAAGATTCTTATGTTTCCATGGCAAATCGACATTATGTGGGGTTCTACAGTGGTATTCATTGTGATTGAAGATGGATTATGTTCCTTCTCAGGCAGACATGGCTCCCTGTTTAAAATAAGACTTTCAGCCTGTTTAAGAGTGTTCATTCCTATTCCACACCCCACTGCATTTTTTTATACATGCATCTGTTTGTCCTCTTGATATTCTGATATCATCTTGAATGGACAGGTGTGGTCCTTATGGGATACACAATCTCAAAGCTGCTGTGCCCTGTTAGGCATTTCTTTGCTCATGACTTCTACAAGAACATGGGCTATAGTTCAAGTCGCTTACAGAGTGAGCCAAGCTTTTCCTGCATGGTGTCCCTTGGGTTGAGACCAGCCTAGGAAACCCATGCAGCCGTGCTGTTGAATTTTCACTCAGAGTTATCCCTGAACATCCATTTCATACTGGGCGCACTTCAAACCCCACAAAACATATTATAATTCCATGGCATAAATTGAAAAGCTCTAGCAGTTTGAAGGTAAATTCTGGGAAAACTACAGCATGTCACAGAGACAGAGCAGGAGAAGCCAATGACATTGCCATCATTCTTGTCCCTGGTGTTAGGAGGAAATTAAAATGCCCTGAAAGGCCTTCAGCAGTCCCCAGACTTGGGGAAAACTCCTTTATGACCCCAAATCAGCAAATCATATAACCATATAAGGAAGAAAATAACCATATACAGAAAATGACCAATGAAAAAATACAGTAGAAGTATGTCAAGGAGGGGAAAATAAAGATAAATCCTGGCCCTCAGAAGTGACCAGAAGAAGCCTCGAAACAAAGAATTATGCTTTGCTTATCTATTTCTATTTCTAGACTCGGTAGACTCAGTCCCAAAAGACAGAATCTAACATTGATCCTCAGTGTTTTACTGACATTGGCATTATCTGAAGGTCATGAGCTGTGACTTAGTCCTCCTGTAATACAAGTAGTAATAATAGCAAAATCATATTTGACTAAGAGACATTTGGGATGGGAGCAAAGGAAGGAAATGACTCTGACAATCCAGGAAAAATGCTTTGAATGGAATGAGGTTGCAGGAGGAATTCATCTTTTTGTCTTCAAGCCAATTGGCTCATTTTTCTCTTAGGGGACAAACTAAAGAGAAAGAAACGTATTTATTTTCATCTCTGGATTTCTAATCGCTGCATCTGTGCAGCCCCACTATCCTCATCTACCTTTTCCAGGCAGTTCGTAATACATGAGCATTCTGCATGGAAGTGCTTTACAGATATCGTTACTCGGCTGGAAGAAGCGCCAGCTCAAAAAGTGAGCTGAGAACAGCGGGAGCACAGATGCATGCCAAATGCTCAATGCCAGATGGGTAACATATTGGGTTACACACATGATATCTGAAAGTCAGGGGTCCTGGCTGGAAGCATCCTTTAAGCCCAGTGACTGGGAGTGAAAATTGTCACAATGACTCCATAAAGCTAAAACCTCTTTCATATGTGTATGACTAGGAGTCAATTCCTCAGCTGTCTGAAGGCCCCGTATTTCTATTTATGTCATTTTTTAATATAATTGACAAATTCCACAATTATCTGTGTCTCTCTACTCTCTGAATAAATGGACCAACTTCATGAAAACAAAACTGTTATGGAAACTAAATAATAGATCTGTTCTAAAGCATATGAAGTACCTTAAGTAGGTTTATCCTTTAAAAAAAAAAAATCAAAGAGTAACTCTGTATGTTCAAATGAGCATTTTTTAACATTTGTTTAAAACAGAAAATACTGTAGGTTTAAGATGCTTAAATATATGCTGTATCAATGAGTTATGAATGCCATTTCATTAAAATTCAAATTAATTAAAGAATAATAAGTGTTGGTCACTGAAAACTACAAAACAATATTGCAGATATTTTAAGAGATTTACACTGAGAA